TGGAAACAACTTCCCTGCTTCTATCCTTCTTCAGAAATGAAGAAGGGCCTAGGCCCGAAACGTCAGCTTTCCTGCTCCTCTGATGCTGCTTGGTCTGCTGTGTTCATCCAGCTCTACAACTTGTTATCTCAGATTCTCCAGCATCTGCAGTTCCTACTGTCTCTAAAACTGGAGGTGTAATGGACGGCGAAGAATGTTACCTTAGAGTACAATGGGATCTTGATCAGATGGGCCAATGGGCTGAGGAGTAGCAGATGGAGTTTAGTTTAGATAAATATGAGGTGCTGCATTTTGGAAAGGCAACTCAGGGCAGGATTATACACTTAATGATAAGGTCCTGGGGAGTGTTGCCAAATAAAGAGACCTTGGAGTGCAGGTTCATAGTTCCTTGAAAGTGGAGTCACAGGTAGACAGAGTAGTGAAGAAGGCGTTTGGTATGCTTGTCTTTATTGGTCAGTGCATTGAGTATAGAAGTTGGGAGGTCATGTTGCAGTTCTACAGCACATTGGTTTGGCCACTTTTGGAATACCACATGCAATTCTGGTCTCCTTGCTGTAGGAAAGATGTGAAACTTGAAAGGGTTCAGAAAAGATTTGTAAGGGTGTTTCCAGGATTGGAGGGTTTGAGCTATAGGGAGAGGCTAAATAGACTGGGGCTATTTTCCCTGGAGTGTCAAAGGCTGAGGGGTGACCTTATAGAGGTTTACAAAATCATGAGGGGCATGGATAGGGTAAATAGACAAGGTCTTTTCCCTGGGGTGGGGGAGTCCAAAACTAGAGGGCATAGGTTTAAGGTGAGAGGGAAAAAATTTGAAAAGGACCTAAGGGGCAACTTTTTCACACGGAGGGTGGTGCGTGTTTGGAAAAGTCTGCCAGAGACAGTGGTGGGGGCTGGTACAATTACAACATTTAAAAGGCATCTGGATGGGTGTATGAACAGGAAAGGGTTTAGAGCGATGTGGGCCAAATGCTGGCAAATAGGACTAAATTTATTTAAGATATCTGGTTGGCACAGATGAGTTGGACCGAAGGGTCTGTTTCTGTGCTGTACATCTCTATGACTCTAAGTTCCCTTTGTTGCGCCTTGCACAGTGGTTGGCTCAGTGGTTAGCACTGCTGCCTCATAGCACCAGTGACCCGGTTCAATTCTAGACTTGGTTCGCTGTATGTGTGGAGGTTGTAATTTCTCCCCGTTTCTGCTGGGTGCTTTGGTTTCCTACCACAGTCCAGGAATGTACAGGCTACGTGGGTTAGCCATGGTAAATGTGACATTATGGGGATAAGATGGGATGCTGCTCAGAAGGTTGGTGCAGGCTTGATGGGCCACATGGCCTCTTTCTGCACTGCAGAAATTCTATGGCCTATGAATGGGTCCCTATCAAAGAAAATTGACAGTGTGGAAGCAGGCCATTTGGCTTATTGATGGTGTTTTACCTCAAATTTGTTGCTAGTGTAGCTATTAGCACACTCAGGATTATTCAATCAGTGTATGCAAAGTGTAAACTTGCCTCTAATGGCAGACATTTTGCTTTGGGCTTCGCAAGCACAGGCAGGTTGAGTACAGTCTGTACGCTGTCTTTTTGGAACAACTGAGAGAACATGCTTTACCATTTGGTTAGCCAATCACTGGGACTTACGGCCCACAAACATTCAACTCCTCCAGATATGAAAGCCTCTGTGTAAATGGGAATTGCCATTGTTTTCGTCTTTGTCAGGCTGAAGGATTTTCAACAATGAATCAAACAACAGTTGAGTCAAACTGGTTCTTCTTGTCTTAAACCTGCACCTGAGAGGAACAAAGTTTTACATTTTATACTCCACCTAGTTGTCTCTCGGAGGACCTGTGGAAAACAGGACCCAGCTGGGGACAGAGGTGGTGACTGCAGAAAGAGGGTGTCTGGAGGTTCTGGCAGTGAAAGAGGAACATGGGGCTCATTTCCTCAAACCTTTGGCAAAAGGAATATATGGAGGCCCTTTGCTATTCAATGGCTAATCTGTAACCTAACCTCATCCACCCACCTTGATTCCAAATCCCAGAAAACCCTTGAACATACAAATTAGGGGCAAGCCTAGGCCAATCACCTTTGAATCTGCTCAGCGAGAGGTGATGGCTTAATAGTATAATCATTAGACTGTTAATCCAGAGACCCGGTAATGTTCTGGGGACCTGGGTCCGAACCCCGCCACAGTAGAAGTTGGAATTTGAATTCAATAAAAGTCTGGAATTAGGAGTCTCACGATGATCATGAATCGATTGTTGGGAAAAACCCATCTGGTTCACTAATCTCCTACAGGGAAGGAAATTGTATTCCTCACCTGGTCTGGCCTACATGTGACTCCAGACCCACGGCAATGATTGACTGCTTAACTGCCCTCTGGGCAGTAAGGGATGGACAATAAGCATGGGTCCAGCCAGTGATACCCTCATCCCATGAATGAATAATAATATATAACAAAATTTTCTGAAGAAGGGTCTAGGCCCGAAACGTCAGCCTTCCTGCTCCTCTGATGCTGCTTGGCCTGCTGTGTTCATCCAGCTCCACACCTTGTTATCTCTATCCTATATAACAAAAGCATTCAGTTACATCATTTTGTGGAGCTGGAGGAACACAGCAGGCCAGGCATCATCAGAGGAGCAGGAAAATTGACCTTTCGGGTCAGGACCCTTCTTCAGAAATGGGGAGGGGTAACACAGCTGGGAAATAAATAGAGAGAGGAGGGGTGGGGCTGGGGAAAGGTAGGTGGGATGGCGATAGGTTGGATGCAAGTACGGGATAGTGGGGATTGGTTGGCGGGAAGGGTAGGGTGGATAGGTGGGAGAGAAGATGGACAGGTCAAGGAGACAAGGATGAGAGGGAGGTTTGGATGTGGAATGAGGTCGGGGGTAGGGAGATTTTAAAACTGGTGAAATCTATGTTTAGGCCATTGGGCTGTAGGCTCCTGAGGCGAAAAATGAGGTGCTGCTCCTCCAATTTGTGGGTGGTGTCATTGAGACACTGGAGGAGACCCAGGATGGACATGTCACTCAGGGAGGGGGAGTTAAAATGGTAGGCGAACAGAAGATGTTGTCGATTATCACGTACAGAGTGCATATGCTCCACGAAATGGTCCCCAAGTCTGCACTTGGTCTCACTGATGTAGAGAAGGCCACATCGGGAGCAATGGATACAGTAGACCTGTACAGTAGATATTCTTCCCCACCCATCCGTCCTACCCTTCCTGCTGACCAATCCCCACTGTCCCCTACCTGCATCTAACCTATCACCATCCCACCTACTTTTCCCCAGCCCCACCCATCCTCCCTCCCACCTCTTTGACCCAACATAACCTGTCCGTCTTGTCTCTCACCTATCCGCTCCTCCCACCTTACTGACCAATCCCCAGCACAGCCTACCTGCACTCACCTATCACCATCCCACCTACCTTTCCCCAGCTGCACCCCTCCTCCCTGTATTTATTTAGTTCCCACACCCTCCCCATTTCTGAAAAAGGGTCGCGACCTGAAACGTCAAACATTCCTTCTCCTCTGATGCTGCCTGGCCTGCTGTTTTCCTTCAACTCCACACTGTGTTATCTATTTTAAAAATCTGTCTGGTTCACTGATGTCCTGCAGGGAAGGGAAATCTGCTGTCCTCGCTTGGTCTCGCCTACACATGACTCCAGACCCAGAGTCATGTGGTTAACTCTCAAGTGTCCTCTGAATGAGCCTCTCGGTTGTACCAAACTGTTCATGGATAGTCAATGAGGAATGAAACTGGATGGCCAATTCCAGTGCAAGTAGCATTGGGTGAGGGGGTGTTCCTACGTCACAGGTACTACAGTTGTTCAAGGAGACAGCTCACAACCTTCTCCAGTGCTGAGCAAAAAAAAAATGTGCTGTGATGCTCACAACCCCATAAAATGAATTTAAAAAATACAGAAAGCAAGTCATGTGAGGGTGAAAGCAACAGCAGGCTAACCATTCATCAGGAACGGG